TTTGTTTGGGTTTATGACTAATTGAGGTGATGTGAGCTAATAATTTTAGTGCGGTTTTTGTTCGCGGTAGTTTTGCTTTTAGCAAGTTAGTTTGTTGCCCTCTTGGGATTGATATTTTAGATGTCTTGTTGATGTCTTTGATTGTATCGTTAAAGTTTATCTAATGAAGTTTCTATTTGATCCCAAAAAAAAAGGTACAAAGAGAGCCATCCAAGAAGCAATCCAAGAAGCAATACAACGGACATGAATAAAACTTCTCCACTAACTCGAGCCATCTCTATAATTTGTTTTTTAAACAGAAATTCTATTTAATCCTAAATGCCAAGGCAGTGGGATCATTTTTTTTTTTTTTTTTTGGGGTCGGAAGTTTGGAAGTTTTATTAATTCAAGTCATCGGTAACATCAAGAGCTAAAGCACTATGGAGCCACGCTGGGTCAGATTGGTCCCAGACAAGAGAGCCCTCAACTCTAGAGAAATAAGCAGCCACCTAATGTGCTGCTTTATTACAAAAGTATGGTATATGTCGAAACACCACCCGCTGAAATCGTCGAGCTAAAACTTGGATGCCAAAAATAATACCTTCTATTTCTGCCACACTCATACAGTCACCTCTTATTTATCATCCGAATAATCTCTTGTGAATCAGACTCTACTTCTAAGCATATGAACCCATTATGCAGACAAATACCCAACATATCACGTATAGCCTCTGCTTCAACCGCAAGTGCTGTGCCACAACATCCAATCCCTCGACCACATGCTCGCAAGAGCTCACCCCACTCAGTCCGGATAACAGCCAACCCCTCCCCTTTTCGTTTGTGCCACCCAAACCCCATCACAATTGGCTTTAAAAGTTACGGAGGGGGGTTTTTGCCAAGTTCTCCTGTGGGGCCCTGTTTTGTCTGGTGGTCTTAGCAGTTCACGTATGAGCACCTTGGTTGTCGAATGAACTTCCCTATATTCATTAGTCTGCATGAGCAAGCACCTTACCAAATCCATAGGGGTCCAAAGACTGTCTTTCAAAAACCACCAATTTCTCCCTTTCCAAATTCTCCACAATCCAAATGCCATAATTTGAAGAATCTCATCCATCTCTTCATCATGTGCAAACTTCTGAAGCAAACATTCCCAACAACTAAGGAAATCTTCTCCTTCTACCCCGTGCACATCTAATTGTAAAGGACTTGCAAACCAAAATAACATGGCTATTTCACATCGAAAAAATAAATGGACGTTTGTTTCTCCATTGTTACCGCATAGTGGACAGTCAACCTCCACATAGACATATCGTCGTCTGAAGTTCTCGTGGACAACTAAAACATTTCAGCAGCACCACCAGATGAACATCCAGGTTTTAGAAGGCACTTGCAAAGCCCAAATACGTTTCTAGGGACATCTTTGTCCACTTTGGTTGCTGCATTCACCCTCTCCCTTTCGGCTAATCACTCTATTTCTTCTCAATTTGATTGCCAAGTCGTAACCAGACTTAACGGTATACCTGCCATGTTTTATAAAGTGCCATATTTGTCTGTCTGGACAACCCCACCTGCTAATGACCATGGGTAGGATAAATTGGGCCTCCTCAAGGATAAAGTATCTTTGGATTAGATCACGTTGCCTTATTCTAACCTCAGGATCAATAAGGTCCATTACTCGATGAGGCATATCCGGGTGTTGAGAGAGAACCTTAAAAGCGTACGGCTTGGGCAACCATCCATCTTCACTAATACGCACAATCTTCCCATTTCCAATTCTCCATCTCAAACCGGCTTCAAGCACCTTACGCCCTTGGATAATTCCTTTCCAGCCCCCAAAAAAATTAAAGCCATAATGATACTTATCATGTAAAACATGCGCAAGTAGTGACTCAGGATGCTGCACAATTCACCATCCAATTTTAGCTAACATAGCTAAATTAAAACAAATCAAGTCACGGAATCCCAGGCCACCAACATATTTCAGCGAGCTCAGCCGTTGCCAACTAACCCAGTGAATACCCTTTTGTTCCTTATTACTGTGCCACCAATATCTTGCAATGTCCTTCTCAATCCTCTTGCATAAGCTAACAGGTAGTTTGAAGCATCACATGGCGTAATTGGGCATTGCCATTGCCACTGCCTTAATAAGGATTTCTTTACCCACTTGCGAAAAAAATTGTTCTGACCACCATCAATTTCGAGCCTATTTTCTTATTTGCATAAACATGCATGTGAGAGACACATGTAATGTGGCAGTGTGGCTTGGCAATGTTTCCGCATGATAGTAACGCATAATTACTATGATTATACACTTGGATGCTATTGGGGAAACCAAATTTAATGCCTTATTAATTTGCTCAACCTACTTATAAAATTGGGCCACATTTTCTTTTTAGAGTTTTTCTATTTAAACCTCGTGCTTTTCTTTATTCATCTCAATACTTAAATATTAAGCTCTTACGTTTTATTATTGTGTAAAAAAACAAAAATAAAAGTCATTCAACTTAATACTTAACCCTAGTACACATATTTCATCACTCTCCATATTAAATTTCTTCTCCCATCTTCTACTCAACTCTCTTCTCCCATCATTGCTGTCAGTGTCACTATCAGTATCAACATCAACATCATCTTTTGCCTTGGTAGCATATTCTAGCTTATGCTCCCATTTTAAAGGGGCTTCTTTCTTCTCCAAAGCTCTTTTCTTCTTCTTCTCATACTTCATTTCCCATGATTTCTTCTCCTCAAACTTCATTTCCCATGATTTCTTCTCCAAAGCTCTTTTATTTCACACATGTGACAACAAAGTTTTTATCTCTTTAGAGCTTGGAGTGTTGGACTGGTTTGGTTTGGATTGGAATGGACTTTAATAAGTTGTTTGGCACAAATCATAAAAGGGGTCTATCTTAGGCCAAATTCACCAAATTGAGATGGGTTTGTTTCTCTTTACCTTGTCGTTCATCGGTGTTGATGGAGTCGGAGGCGACTACGTCATTCATCGGTGTTGCTGGAGTCTCAGGTGAAGGCGTCGATCAACCCATTAACCAAAATTAACAACAGAAAATAAATAAATAAAATTGAAGCCAAAAGGAGATAGAGAGGTGGAGAAAATTTGGGATTCTTATCAGGACCAGAAACAAAAAGAAGCCAAAAAAAAAAAAAAAGGAGATAGACAACCCTTATCAAGGGCCCCAATTCCGAGTTTAGGCAGAACCTAGAAAATGAGAAGAAAATAAAAATTATGGTCAAGATTTATTTTCCCTTCTCATCAGACCCACCCTTTCCTTCCTTTTTTTTTTCTTTTTTTCTTGTTCCTATTTCCATGAGAGAGAGTGAGAGAGATTGAAGTGTCAGATTGCTTGAAATCTGTGGGAGAGACAAAGATGAATAGAAGAAGAAAAGAAAGACGATGAAAAGAAGAGGAGGTTTCGAAACCCATGGTTCCACTTGGGTTTACAAAGCCCCTCATTCGTTGGATTGGTATCCTATCAAAATATGAGGCCTAACCAGTCCCACAGTGTATTTAGGCCCACCAAACAACAGCTAGGATTATAGTCCATTTTAATTGAAAAAGTCTGGTCCAGTCCAGCCCACCAAATAAGGCCTTAGGTAATGTGAGGTTGAGGTGAACTTAGAGTAGTGAGGGGCAAGATAACGGGGTGTGAGGTATCAGGTTAATGCGTTTTTAAAATAAATATTTTTTCTTTTGCTGGGTGTGTATTTAGGTGTAGTTTGGAAAGATAGTGGATTTTTCTTAAAAATTGTGAAAATTTGAATTAGAAGTTGGAGTGAACTTAGAATATGAGGCGAACAAAGAGAAGTGCGAGATTTAAATAAAAAAACTTTCCTTTTATTGCAGAAAATGATTAATTTGATTGGGGTTTTTTTGTTTTTGTTTTAGGTTTTTTAGGTTTTACACATAAAAAAAATTTCACTTTTGGAAAAAGCCAAAGCTTTTTCAAAAAGGACAAAAAAACCACTTAACTTTTAAATCAAAGACATGCAAATGTATTGGATTCCTTAGGAAATCTAAAAATAAATAAGGGCATTTTTGTCCATTTTTGCTTCTTTTAAAATTTTTCTCTCTCCTTTTGCTTTTTCCAAAATGTCCCTTTTGTTTTTTACCATAGACTTCTACTGTTGTTGGACTTGTTAACAGGGAAATGCCAGCAGTTAATTATTTAACTTCTTATTTCATGGGGGGGTAACAAGAGCCAAAAATGGTAAGTTTTGGCCAGGGATACCAGTCAAATAGCAAATGTTCTTACTTATCTACATAGAGATGTGTCCTTTGATATCTATCATCAGATTCAGATCAATTGTTTTAATACAAATTTATAAATAAACCCAATCCTATACATGTATTTATAAAAAAACCCAATGACTATTTAAACATAGAGACACACCCAAAATGAACCCCAAAGTCAACTTTTTTGGTGTGTTTATAAATGGGTTTTGAGTGTGTGTAATGATGAGTTTTGGGTGTGTTTATATGTTTAAATAGTGCTTGAGTTTTTTTATAATTTCAAACCCCATTTTGGGTGTTTTAGTGAAACTCCCTTGTTTTAATTGAATCACAGGGAAACTATATCAATGGTGATGAATCAAGATCAAATCTTAAACCACATCAATGCTGAATTGTGGGATTGGGCTAAAATTGTCAAATTCTACGTCACCATGAGCTTATAGAAAGTTTGTAAAATTTGGATTATCTAAATAAATAAATAAATAAATAAATAAATAACCCTTTAACTTAACCAAGCAGACAACACTGGCGCTGAGAAAATTATGCCAAATCACGATTTTAATTTGTTGTCATAGATCCGCCCGCAAATAGCTGGTTGCCACGCAAGGAAGGCAAGTGGAGATGGTACACGTGGTGAGAAACTAAAGCGGCAGTCGATGTTTTACTCTAGTAGGTGCCGCGGCAGATTAGAACTACCAAACGTCATTGACTGAAAGTGTGACGTGGCCGAGGGTAAATTATTGATGGATTATGCGGTTAACGCGGTTTGCTTGTAGCTACAAACGACTCTGAGACAGAAAGAGACCTCGTTTTCTTCCCCATTCATTTCTCTCGATCCAATTTTAGGGTTTCAAAATTCAATCTCTCTCTCTCTGCGATTCAAATTTTAGGGTTTCTGATTTCTCTCTGCGATCAATTATGGCGATCAACAACAGGGAGAGCAACGTCCAAGAGGAATCGAACCCTCTTCTGAGTCAGCAATTCGAGGAGCCTCAGAAGGATGCTGAAAAGCCCGCCAAGGCCTCGCCGGAGACTCAGTCGTCGGAGAAATCTGGGCTGTGTCAGGGGGGTGGTGAGGGGGGGGGGGTGGACCGCCGATGGGCTGCCGTTGGGGCACGGGAGCGTGATGGGTGAGCCCATGGGCCGGGCCCAGTGGGACTCCGGCCTTCTTGCATGTCTTGGCCGTAATGATGATTTCTGTAGCAGCGATCTTGAAGTTTGTAAGTTTTTTCTTTCTGGTTTTCTTTTTCGGTTACGTTTTCTTTTTGATTTTTCAATTAAGATTTTGGCATCATGCGATGAATGTCAATGTTATATTGTGCCCTCAGTAGCTCTGATTCATTGGATTTTAGGTGACTGATTATTTAATTGCCTTTAGGCATTTGAAATGGTGTAAAATTAGCTCGATCGTGACATTGAATAGAACTATGACATATTTTTTATTTATAACAATACCTCTCAATTTTACCAGATGCAAAATCGATTAATCTTGACTGTATTTCTATATTGTTTGGAATGGATGTATTATGTTATTATATAATACTTGTACGGTTTACGCTGCTGTGCCTTCAATCATTAATACAAAAAAAAAAGGAGGGGGGGGGGGGGATATTAATAATTATGCATCTTGTTGATTACTATACTGACCCAAGGGGTAGGGTGAACCCAATGCCCAAAACGTGTTTTAGATGTACCATTCTCCAATTTGGTATACGTTATTAATTGGATTGGATCACAATTTGCAATAGCTTTTTGAATATATAACGATTTACCCGACACAGGGTTCTGGATGATTTTTCATTCATCATATGCCTGTCCCTGTTTTGTCTTTTGAGTTTCTGTAAGCCATAGTCTTGGGAAGTGTCTTTTATTTTCTTTTGGTACTTTTCCCTTCTTTTATAAATGTAAGGTTTGCCACTTAGCATTTTATCAAAACTCAAATGCATATTATCCCTAAATTTCAGAAAACACGAGAGGTTAGAAACAAGACTGTTTGTTCATTCAGCTTTTGATTTAGTGGAATTTCTAACTTTTTTTCCCACTGGAAAATCTCACAATTATGTACCTGCTCGAAATAGTTGGATAAATTGTTGTTTAATACTTGAAAATCAGGTCTTCTTGATTATAAGATCATATTTCTTTATAGATATGTTTTGTCAGTGTTCTTTCCTACATGTTATCAACATTTGTCATACTAACGTTGATGTGATCTGCTAGGCCTTCTTGGAAGTGTGGCTCCTTGTGTGTTGTATGGAAGCAATGTCGAGAGACTTGGATCTACTCCTGGGACGTTTGCAAATCACTGTTTGTCTTACTATGGTCTATATCTGATTGGTAATACCTTTTTTGGTTGGAACTGCCTTGCACCATGGTTTTCATATCCTAGCCGTACTGCTATCCGCCGCAAGTTCAACCTAGAGGCAAGTTATATTTTTCCTCCCAAAATGTTTATGGTTTTGATTCAGATAAACTTAGCCTGTTTTCATATTGTTTTGATTTGTAGATTAAATTTTGGTTATGTTTATATGTCTGTAATATTTTGCATTGCATATGATTTTGATTCAGTTACACTTTACATGGTCCCTTTCTTTAGCATGGCTTTGCAATGAATCTAATCATCACACACATTACTTTAGTTGTCCGTCTCAAAGCCTTACATAGTGAATGTTTGGCATTGTTGTGTTAGCCTTACATAGTGAATACTTGGCATTGTTTGATATATTCTTACAAGAGAATTGAGGAGAGGGTTTGAATGTGTGGTTTCCTGGTTTTTGATGATGAGCAGGGTAGCTGTGAGGCGCTTCATAGGTCATGTGGATGCTGTGGCAGCTTTGTGGAAGATGAGGTACAACAAGAACAGTGTGAGACCGCCTGTGATTTTGCGACTCATGTTTTCTGCCATGCATGCGCCCTTTGTCAGGAAGGTCGTGAGATCCGTCGCAGGATGCTTCATCCTGGTTTCAATGCTCAACCAGTTCTGGTTATGATTCCTCCCGGGGAGCAGGCCATGGGCCGTGGAGCTTGAGAGCATACTTTGTGGGCACGAGATGCTTGTACTTTGTGTATACATACTTAAGTGTGTTTTGATGATATTAAGAGCTGTGTTAAATCTGCATTGACTTATCCGAACCACATCTTTTACTTGGTTTTTTGCAGTCAAGTATAAATAAGATGAGATGAAAGTATATAGACTTGTGTGTATGTAATACTTGATATCTATGTACGTGCTTGTTCATTGAATACTCACTGCCTTAGTTACAGATTAAAACTATTTTTCTATTTTTCTATAAATATAAATATAAATTGTGGAAGTTTGTAATTTGATAAGACAAATATGTCATTTTAAACGAACTTAGTAATAGTATTAGCGTGATGATGGAGTTTTTCTATTCAAACCCATCATCCAACGTTGGCCTGAGACATCTATGTCATCCAACTTTGGCCTCACCTTCTCTTTATATATAGGCATCACTTACCTTACCACTATCATATCATTAACCTCTGGTGGTGGCTTCTGTTGGTTTCGGTGAATTGGAAACCGCAGAGCAAATGGCAAATGGTTCAAGATATACAATACATATGATATCGAATTATAATCTATGTAAAACAACTTAAAGAAAATGATCTAATCATTCAGAGAATCAAAGACAATGGGTTTCACCCTGAACTGGCCACTTATGGCAGCCTTGCCAATGGAATTGCATTGGCCAGAAAACCAGAAGAGGCACTCTTGTTTTGGATTTGGAATGAAGTGAAGGAGAGATGTAGGGTGAAAAAGGGAGGGAAAACTTCCGATCTGCCAACGCGGAAACCCGATGAAGGTTAGGAAATATAAACGTGACAACAAATATTTAGTATCAACATGCAATGAAAGTTAGGAAATCGGCCCTCATCAATACAAAATGTGCGTAATACACTAGATTAAAAACAATCGACAAGTTATGCAATCTAGGAAGGACGAAATTTCTTGCATAAGCAATATATATGTTCCATAAAACTCTGTTTACTAGTACTTTCCTAGCATACTGAATTAATGTCATTGCAAACACGTTATATCAAAAGAGATTAGAAAATACTCGATTTAAACTCGAAAAAGGGAAAAATAAATCAGCCCTGCAAGCTATCTAGGCTGTTTCTCAGCAGTCAATCAGCCCTGCACCAACAACAAAAAGGCATTTTCCCCCTTGCTTAACTTTGCCTTCTTTCCAGGAAATGTTCCTGCACCTATGTCATCCAACTTTGGCCTCACCTTCTCTTTATATATATGGGCATCACTTGCCCTTATTGATGTCATAATAGTCAAAAACTTAAAACCACAAATAAATAACAATGAAAACCCTCAAATAAATATTAAAGTGACTTTTGGCCAAGAAATATTATGATCAAGGTGTGAGTCTGAAACAGTCTTGACCAAATTCCTTGTAGAAGAACTTCTGTATACGTTGTTTAATGTGAAGCAGGGTTCGAGAGTTTGGATTGTGGAGGTGGAGGAGTTTTCACTGATGATCTGGGTCTTGAGTGGACTTCTGATCAACTTAATTACGGCGAAACGAGCTTTATATCCGTTTCGAATGAGACGAGGAAGCAATGCTCGACATTGAGGCACTTCCCTGCTGGTTGAAGAAAATATTGTTACACAGTGTATGTCACAAGTAGGACTAGGTACCTTCTAAGAGCGACATTCTTGTATGGTGACTTTTTTGAAGCTAAAGATATTCTGCTGCTTGGAAGAACCAAAGGCACCGGCTCTGCATTTTGATGGTCTTGACTTGTCCTAATGCTTCAATGGCCATTGTTTGTGAAGGTTTCACATAGCGAGTGCTAGATGTGTCATCTCTGTTTCGGATCAGTGTATATCAACGGGCAATTTATGTATCCATAAACTTATACATTGAGGAAGGGCAAAACTAAGCCAATGGGATGGGATCTAGCCAATTCGAAAGTATGGGGAAAAAAATTTGTAATTAAAGTGGAAATTATTTTGGAACTTTGATGCCAGTGCATCTTCTTCTTATGACAGACATTTGTGTAACATGTGATCAGCTACAGTACAGGACCAAGGAGCAGTCAGAGAAATATTATTACTATTCGCGGGCCATACCGGCATTCATTAAATCTACTAATACAAGAAAATTTGAAGAAGCTCAATTTGTTATAAAACTAGAGGGAGAAAATGTAGAGATAAGTGATATGCTGTGTTATAAAATTAGAGGGAGAAAATGTAGAGAGAAGTGATATGCTAAAGGTAAAGTTTCACCATGTTTATTCTTCCCTTAATCTTTGGTAGAACCACCTATTTGTAGGCTTACAAGATAGGAGATTCAATACCATAATTTACAATATACCTATAGGTTACAAGCACTAATTACAAATACTTAGTGCATAGGTTACATAAAATCCAACGGTGGAATACTAAGAGATATGGTGGTCATCCACCAACGCATGCATTTACAACACTCTCCATTGAATATCCATCATACAATGATATAGTTCCCTCATTAAAAACCTTGCTTGGAAAATCCAGTGGGACAAAACCGAAACGAAGAGAAAAAAGAGTGAAACTTTCTTCTGGATCATTGATATGGTGTTGGATGCGCTTATGTTGCCTCGTTAAAACTTTGCTAGGAAAAATTCAGTGAGACAAAAACCTAATCAAAGGGAAAAGAATACAACGCGCATATGTGTTGTATGTAGTAGAACTAGGATACTCTCCTTGAGCATCACTTCCTCCAAAAAAATCCCATTCCACTCTGTCATAGGCCTTGTTCATATCGAGCTTGAGACCTAATTCGCAATGCCTCCCTTTCCTTTTGAGCTTCAGGTAATGAAAAACCTCATTGCCCACAATAAGATTATCCTAAATTTAACGGTTTAGGACAAATGCGTTCTAAAAATCTAAGATGATCTCCGGAAGAAACTCCTTGAGCCGGTTTGCTAGGATTTTTGAAATGATTTTGTAGGAGTTATTACACAGGCTGATAGGCCGAAAATGTGTAGTTTTATGAGGACTAGGGCATTTAGGAATGAGGGCAATCAGGGTTTGGTTTAGCTCATCAAGATTAGTCTTTTGATCACAAAAATCTCCCGCCTTAAGCTCACCAAGTTGAGAAACAGCCTCCTTAACTTCATCCGAAGAGATAGGTTTGCAAAGCTCAAGGTTCATCTCCTCAGTAACCACATGGTTCACGTGATCCAGCGAATTCCCCCAACTTTTAGGGCCAGAAGAGGTGAAAAGCTCCAAAGAGTAGGATTCATACAAGTTTCTGATGTCATCCTCATTTTCCACAGTCACACCATTATCATCTTCCAACTTTGATATTATATTTCTTCTTCTTTGTTGAGTGTTAGAGAGATGAAAGAATTTGGAATTAGCATCTCCCCTCTTAAGCCAATTGATATGCGACCTCTGTTTCCAGTAGGCTTCTTCATTTTTCCAAGCTTTAGAAAAATGGTCACAAATGGTTTTCTCAGTTTCAACACAAAGAGGAGGTTGACTATGGACTGTCTCAAGCTCCTTCAATAGCTTTTAGATGCGTTTATGATTATTAGGGAAGCGATTAAAGCTCCACTTCTTGAGGTCTTTTCTACAGTTTTTTAGGCAGGAATTCCATCTAAAGATACTAGAAACACCTCTCCCCTGGTTCCAAGCCAAGTTTACAACATCGAAGCACTCCGAGTTCTCGGTCCAAAACAACTCAAATCGGAAGCAGGGTTTAACATTTGTCACCGTAGGAGAGAGGTTGAGAATGATGGGGCAATGGTCAGATCCCAAGCATGGGTAGTGGGAGATCATAGTGTTGGGCCACAACTCCAACCAAGTGGCATTCACCAGCCCTCGATCTAGTCTCTCCTGGATAATCACTTCCCAATTTTCCTTATTGGCCCACGAAAACTCAGGCCTAGAGAATCCAACATCAATCAAGCTGTTGTTTTCCATAAAATCTCGGAGAAATTTGCCCCGTGAAGGGCACCAGTCAGCATCTCCCTATTTTTCATGAGGGCAAATAAGCTCATTAAAATCTCCAATACAACACCATGGTTGAGTGACATTGTAGCTTAGGTTTCGCACCGACTCCCAAAAGATTGGTTTATCATCTCGATAAGGAGGACCATAAAAAGAAGACATGCCTACCTTGGTGCCCACAACATCATCAAAAACAAGAACCTCAATTAGATTTTTGGAGGTAGAGCGGATCTCCACCGAACAATCGATCCTCCACCACAGGTAAAGACCTCCCGCCGAACCACAGGGGTTAATAGAAATTCCATTAAAACCACCATAATGAATCAATTCCCGTAATGTCTGGACTGTCAAGGCAGACCCCAAACCTTGACAGTTCCAAACCAAGTGTATCATATTGGACGTGTGGCTGCATGAGGCTAGCCACCACAGCCCAGGAGCGAAGCTCTCTCCTCCTCATTAGTGTTCCTTAACCTTTCTTCAATTACTCGCATTTGTTCAGAAGCCTTCACCCCAACATCATTTAACTCAGAATCCTTAAAAAGGCATTCAGTTAGGTCAAAAGGAGAAGGCCCAGATTTTACAGATTTTTTTCCAACAAGTTTCTCGAATTTGGGCCTACCTCGACTCATCTTACCTATAATAGTACCATGTCAGATTGGGGCCCCCACTTTTGGTCTAAGCACCGTAGCTTTGGGCTTTCTTGTTGACCTCGGTTCAGCTTTAATTCTTTGGCGCATGCCGTTCTGTCGCTTACTGGTATGACTAGAAATGACACTATCTAACAAAACTGGAGTCTCAGAGTTGACCCTAGTGGGGTTAGCGAGCAAGTTCAAGTCCAAAGATGAAGAGTCAATTTCAATCGCAGAATTACCCTCGGGGTCAACAAGTAACGGTTGGAGAGGAGTGTCCTGTTGCGTGATCAAATGGGTATCCAAACTACTACAACATGCCACCATTTGACGAGATTTGAAATCTTGATGGAGCGTCATAGAACGTGGGGGGTCATCCCAGAAAAACGTAAACCTAGGATTAGGTATGATCCTCGGGCCAAAGTTATAGACCCGAGGATTTCGGGTGTTTGCCCCATGCCCTGTTGTTTTCAAAGCTTTGAGTGACAGTAAATTATTCTGCTCCACAGTTCGTCTTTTTTGCCCCTCAATTGCACTGGGCCTGGGTGTGCCAGACTGAGGGAGCGGAGTCCTACTGGAAAAGTCAATTCCATAAAGACCATTTATATCTTTCTCGACCATCTTACGCCAATGACGTTCATCCGCAATG